ATCGTGCAGACCTACTGGCAGTCGGCCATCGCCTTCGCCACCGGCGTCTCGCCCGGCCCGCTCGGCTCCGCGCATCCGCTCAACGCGCCCTACCAGGCCTTCCCCACGGCCGACGGCTACATCAACGTCGGCGCCGCCAACCAGGCCAACTGGCTGCGCCTGCTCGAGGCGCTGGGTGCCGAGCATCTCGCCGAGGATCCGCGCTTTGCCGAGAACAAGGGCCGCATGGCCAATCTCGACGCGCTGGTCACGGCGCTCTCGCCCTACTTCGAGGCGCGCTCGACCGCGCAGTGGCTGGAGATCTTCGAGGCCAAGGGCTTTCCCGCCGGCCCGGTACTGAGCGTCGGCGAGATGCACCAGGACCCGCAGGCCCTGGCGCGCGAGATGGTGGTCGACCTGGAGCACCCGACGGCTGGGGCGATGAAGACGCTCGGCCTGCCGATCAAGTTCTCCGAGACGCCCGGCGGCGTCGCCCGTCCGGCGCCGCTTTACGGCCAGCACAGCCGCGAGGTCCTGCGCGAGGCCGGCTACGCCGAAGCCGAGATCGAGGCGCTGGTCGAGTCCGGGGTGCTGGGGGCGGGCTAGTCCGGTCGCGGAGGCGGGGAGGTCGCGGCGTCGGCCGCGCGCGGGACCGGTCGCTCGGGCGGCAGGTCGGGCGCTGGGCAGGTCGGGGGCAGGGCAGGGCGGGTGCGCCGCTTCAGTGGGCCGACTCGCCGACCGCCAGGCCACCGACTGCCGGCGTCATGTAAACTTCACGCGCCTGAAACGCCGCGCACACGGTTGCGCGGGCAAAGGAAGAGACCGCGCTCGTTCCCGCCACCTTCGCCCTCGGGGTGCCGCCCCCCGCCATGTCCGCGTCCCGGCCGCGTTCCAGCCCGCCTTCCAGCCTCCGCCCGACCGTGCGCACCGTCGCCGAGCGTGCCGGGGTCTCCACCGCCACGGTCAGCCGCGTGGTCAACGGGCAGGTCGCGGCCGACTCGCCGACCGGCCGGCGGGTGCGCGCGGTCATCGCCGAGCTGGGGTTCCGGCCCAGCCGCCTGGGGCGCAGCCTGAAGACCGCGCGCAGCGCCCTGGTCGGCATCGCCCTGCCGAGCCTGAACGATCCGCTGTTGAGCCGCGTCCTGCAGGGCGCCGAGGCGGCCGCCGCGGCGGCCGGCTACGGGCTGTTGGTGACGCGCTTGGCGGCGGAGGAAGGGGCGGGCGCGGCCGCCGTCGAGCGGCTGCTCGGCCACAGTGTCGAGGGGCTGCTTCTGGCCGGCGCGGCGCCGGACCCCGCAGCCCTGGCGGGCACGCCCTGCGTGCGGCTTCTCGACCCGGGCCGTGCGGCGCGGCGGGGCATGGGCTGCGCCGGTGCCGGGGAAGGGCGCGGCGCCGGGGCGGGAATCGGCGTGGGCGTGGAGATCGCGGCGGCCCTGCACGAGCTGGTCGCGCTGTTGCAGGGCTGCGGCCACCGCCGTTTCGCCGTCCTGCGGGAGGCGGGGCTCGACGACTGGCTGGACGCGGCGGTGCTGCGCCATGCCGGACTGCGCCCGGACCTGCTGGTCGAGCTGCCCCGCGGGTGCGGCGCACCGGGCGAGGTGCTGCAGCTCCTGCGCGCCGGGCCGCAGCCGCCGACGGCCCTGCTGTGCGCCAGCGACGCCCTCGCCCTGGCGGTCATCGCCGCCGCCCGATTGCGCGGGCTGGAGGTGCCGCGCGACCTCTCGGTCGCCGGCCTTCAAGGCGTCGAGCCGGCGGCCGGCCGCGTGCCGCAACTGACGGCCGTGGTGCAGCCGGCCGAAGCCCTGGGCCGGGCGGCCTTCGCCC